AAGGAAAAACATTATGCAATTAAAAGGCAATTTTGCCGTTGGCCCACACACTGCTGCCGATTACCAAGCACACAGGTATGTAACAAAAACAGAAAATAAAAGTTAATTATGTCAAAACGTAGCCAACTCGTACCAAACTTCCCCAGGCAAAGTTCTTTTATCTAAATTAAGAAATAACCCATCAAATTTCATATCACCCAAGTGGTAAATTGGGTACAGATTAATGAATGATAAAGCTGTTTCTGTTATATAAAAATATAAAAAACCTATTTCAAACATTCTGCCAAAAATGTAAAATATACAAATTTCTAAAAACATGTTATTATTATTAAATGTGCATACTTAAAATATAGATTACTACAGTATTATACGAAGAAATCAAGGACTGAAGACTGGGATAATTAAACGCAGCGATTAGCATAATTTATCCAAGCAATTATGTGAGCAGAATTAGATCTGCTTTGCTCCGCAAATTAAAGTCAATTTCGTGGAGATAACGATGATGGTTCGCCCCAACGAGAACTTAAAACTGTTGACAGTCTGTTAGTTTAGGACCACGAAGACGTATTTGGCTTTTCCGCCTCTTTGTGGGGCAAAGTAAATATTGAGCTTCGAATGGCTCGTGATGGGGCAGTAGAACACTGGACTGTGCAGCATCGAAGTGGCATCTGATTGTGATGGGTTTCCTTTTCAGCACTCCAAGCTCAGGGTCATGTGTGTGTATTTTTCCGGACAGCAGAAATATAAATTTAATCAAGTGGCCATCGTTTATTTCCCTTTTGATTTCGACAAATTCAATTGACATTCGATTTTATTATCTCCGCTCCCCAGACCCAATGCCGCACAATTACTACACGCTTTGTAAATGCATTTCATAAATTTATGATGCCAACAGATGACCATTTCCTCAAGGGATTGACGGGCATGTGAAATAAATACGATTCCGACCGTTTGTTGTTTGTTGTATGGCAAATATTTCATATATCATCGTTTCTCCCCATAGCACGGGTATCTCATTTTATATCTCATTTTGCCATTTCAGCCTGGAATTTCTGTGGTATTTTCTGTTGGCTCAGGAACCTTTGGGGTCTCCCAGTGTTTGTGGGTACGCTGTTTACCGCCTTGCACATAGATTTTAATTAAGTCCACTTTCCCCAATTTAATATTTACAGAGATGGTGTTAAGCATTAAAACTTTGCTCTAAGCTGGGAGTTCTTGCCCAAAAACTAAACTCCCGCCCCCCAAAAATGAAAGTTCAAGTGGCAAGTAGCGCAAAGCATTTCCTTTCTGGCGGAAAAGGGGCCAGTTACTTCACGTTTAAAGAATGAAAAATAAAGTACCACACAAAAGATTAAGGTCGAAATGAAAAGTGTTTTCCCAAGTTAAGAGAGTCCACATCAAAGAGAAAGTGTGCAATCTCTTTGCATGAAAAGTTTCGGAGTCAGTCCGAAACAAATAGAAATTATTCGCGTGCCCACAAGTGGTTGCCTACTTAAAACACGGAAACTCAGGGATATTTTAGTGTGGGCCCCAAAACAACAAAAACACATTTTAAAAAGACTGAAGTTCAATTAAATAAAATAAGATACAGAAACTACGATGGATTTTAAAAAATTGTATTTTCCATTTTATAATCAGTTTTAGATAAAAGGCGAATTTAAGGAAAACCAAAAGGTTAATCTCTCTGAATAGAAGGGTACGCGGTTGACAAACTAACCCACATGAAACCATTGCCTCAAGGAGTACACTGGGAAAAAAGATTAAAATTACTTTAATTAAATAAATGGTGGTTTCAGAGTAATATGAAATGCATAGTTAAAAAACCTTAAATTGATTATCTGTAATTTGAACATATAGATGTGAACCCATAGCCACCACCCCATTACATCGATTATAGGTGTGCCATACGATATTGTACTAAGGTTGCGAAATTATAAAAACGTTATATGATTTTTTTTAAATTGCATTAGTAATAAGCATGTAATTTTTTCACAGGATTACGTAGCAATATTGTATTACCATTTACGTTCCGTAATTCAAAAAGATTCTACAAGTCGGTCAAATAGGAGATTTCGCTTTTATATAAATTAGCAGACTTGTCAATGATAATTTTGCTCTGTGTGCCCACACAGCACCGTAGACACCGCAACTACAACAATGGGCAGCCTGACAGACAGAAACGTGGAGCTGAGTGAGGGGTGTGGAGGGGTTAAGCCGGTGCGGGGTGAATCCGCTTTTGTTTATCTACTTTAAACTAACATCAGGCACTTTTGCCATCTAATCCTGACCAACCCGACAGCTACTTAATGTCATCAGTTTGCCACTCGCTGGCATTTTCAACAAGGACATTTGGAAGTGCACAACGATTCTGGAGGGGAATGGCGGTGGAGGATGGGAGATGGGATATCATGGGCAGGAGGGAATCAGAGGTCGACGACGCTAAACGCTTTCCATTGAGCTCAGATTCGCCGAGTGCAAATTGAATAATCGTTTGCGCCTCGCCGCATCTACAAAAAGGACCTCTTAAAAGTTCCATTTTGCCCCTCATTGTGCTTGGTTGTGACAAATATCGATCATCAAGGCCAGCTGATGGACGACTAGGACACACAATTGTTTGGGTTTATTCTAATGCTCCGCAAAACTTCTGACCAAGTTGTCTGAAGAGTTTTCCTTCGGCGAGTTTCCTTTTCCATGGCAAAAACTTTTGCCGTCCCTCTTTTGTCAAGTTTGTCATTTGTTGGACATTTATAAGCAAATCCAGATTCGGGTACGGGTGCGGGCTTAAATGTTTGGGTGTGGAAAAGGACCTGCTCCTGGACCATGGACTGCGGGTCTCGTTAGCATACGTATGTACATTGAAGGCGGGTTGGGTTTCCTTGCTGGGCTCTCGACCAAATGAAATTGAATGCCATCCCAAGGAGTTCAACTCAACTGTGAGAGCTTTAAAAATTTGCTTTATTTGTCAGCTGAGCAGTAGCAGTAGAGCATTTAATTCATTTGGGAATTGCTCGAGCGTTATTGGACTCCACTCAAGGATGGTTGGAATTCATGGACTTGATTGTCTAAGGCTTTACACAAAGCACTAGATATACCGCCATAGTTAAACTAATAACTATTAATGATTACCTAGAATAAATAGCCAACGAAATTCGACAACTTTGAATGCCATTAAATTGCTGATTAAGTCCAGCCCAATGGAATCACTATATTTCTCCTAAGTTTAATGACAAATGTCAAATACTGATGATGTTGTGCATTTATGTAGCTTATTTTAATGCTTGGCCTGCATATAAACCCCATTTTTATTCGCACAGCGGGCCAAGTTGCATCGCAACTCCCTGCGCTTTCAACTTTGATCCCCAGCTTAAACGCAAAGCTCTTTTCACTTAGCCAAAACTTTGGCCAACAAACAATAAACCAAATACCAGAGACTATGTGCTCTGGGCTCTGGGCTCTTCGAATTTGTCTTAGATCAATTCCCGGGAGCTCGAGTATTCTTGGACGAGAGTTGGCAAAGGCAATGCAAACAGCGCGGATTTAACTTTCGCCGGATGCCATTGAGACTTCACGGACTGAAGATGAAATGAGGCAGGTGAAATAGTCACACGAGGCAACTGAGTCCCAGAGACCCAAATATGTGCATAGCATTTACCAAGTGGCCATCGGACATTCATTCGGGTGCACGTGTGGGTAAAATTCAATTTCGAGCCATTGACAAACAAACGTGATGAATACTCGTACCTGGGGACTGGGGATATAACATGGAATTAATGCGAGCCCATCGAAGGTCAGCCTTCCTCTGAAACCATTCATTGAGGACTTCAAAGCTTTTGTGTATTTTATGTGGTCATAAATCGCCAGGATAGTCGTGTTCTCTGTCCCAATCCTTTGCTCGTCCTGGCGGAAATTAATGGCCAAGATAATAGATACATAGATACTCCTGCTGGTTGGACACACACGGACCAAGACCATAAAAAACAAAAAGTGTCGATTGTTTTCCAATTTGTGTAATTTGTTGTTTATTTTGTTTATAACTACATCAATAAATTATGTATCGTATCGTATAATTCATAATTATACTCTTTGAAAGCGTGAGAACATACTGGAATTGCAATTCGGCAGCTGGGTTCCTGATTCTGGTTATGATTCATTCAAAAGTGGTCATCCACGCTGTACTGGATTTACCTGGATTTTCCACCAGGATCTGTGATACCAAGTTTAGTACATAGCTTCGTTCGGAAGTCTGGGCGATTTTCAAAGAGTATATGCGTAAGTATTTTCGAAACATCGGCCAGCCGAAGATGATTGAATTTTCTTTAATGCTATGATTAACTTGATGATGACAACGTCGAAGATCGCTTTTGGGCTACTACTTAGAACCGCCTCATTCTTCAATTCTCCTTGATCCTGGACACATTATTTTACTTTAAGATTGATATATGCATGCTAGCTGTCTAGGCTGTCTAGTTACAATGTCAGCTCGAGTTACCATAATATTCATACCTAATTCTTTAACTTCTTAGTCCGCGCAGCGTAAATTGTGTTTGCAATAGCTTTCTCAGATCGGCCGGGGTACTGGGTTTCGAATCATTTTGTGGTTTGTAGTTAGCTTGTTGGGTGCGTGTGGTGATTGTGGTGCGCTGTGGTGCGTTGTGTGGTGCGGAGAACCGAATTAATAAGGCCACTTATCCATATATGTGTGTGTGTACGTACTCGTAATAGTCATTAGTCAGTTATGCACACATCCCCTGCCCGGCCCACCACTTATCGCGTTTCTGATAATCCCTCACTTTTGCTCTTGCTGAGCTAACTCTCCGGGTCGAATCTTTTCTATTCAAACTCTAACTTCTAGCCCTAACTAAAGTGGCCTCTGGGTGTTTATGCTTGTGTTAAGAGTGGTCAAGAAGAATTCCATAAATTTTGTGTGGCTCTAGTATTGATAAAGTGCCAAATTTGGTGTGTCTGTGTCTTGAACATTTATCTATTTGATAAAGCAGCAATTATTTTGCGCTTGCGCTACTATTTAATGTTGAACAATACGATTTGTTTGTGGCGGCTACTTTAATTGTATTTATACGCTTATTAGTTCCGATTAAGGGTAAGGATTGGTTTCACTTGTGGTTCTTAGTAGTGCATTCGCAGTCCTATTTCAGGTTACGTTTTTAATAGTTACTAATGCCATTTCAAATTGTTCATGTCAATCACTAAGCCGAGGATAAACTAATTAACTACGTTCTCATTATTGTTATGTTCAGCTCAAGTTTCTGCATCCATGTACATATACATATGCTTATAAAAAACCAGATGCGCTGCCTCACAAGTCTATCGAATCGACGATGGCGCGCGTGAGACACCCATCGATGCATCGACTCCACTTCATTTAACTATGTACGCTATAAATGTGTATTTGCCGATTCGCCTCTTAGGTAAATGTACATTAACATGCTCATGCTTTACTATCGCTCTCGTATGCGTCGCTTGAATTAAAATGATTAATGGGATCGAGCACTATCGACCCTATGTACAGGATTCGTGGGGACGTGTTCGCGTAGGCGGTAATACAATATTATAATTTCATATGTAGCAACAAAAATAGACTAATTGTCGATTTAAAACACAGGAAATAAATTAAGCTCTGGCGTGTGTAAAACTAAATCAAATGGTAATTCATAAACTTTAAACGTAATTCGAGTTAGCTGGAGAACGGAGATTAGCGACTGCTGGTTGGTTGGCTGGCTGCTGATGCTTTAGTGGTTGCTGAAGTAAAAGTTGTTGTTGCGTATGTTGCCACGGGTTCGCCAGCGGATGCAGCTGAGCAGGGCCACGCGGGCTGCACGAAGCAGGATCTGGCCGTAGGCACAGCAGGCGCAGATGCGCCTTACCCGCTCGGCCAGGTTGCGACGACGACAGCGACGGGCGGGACGATGCCAGCGGGGCAAGTCCTGCCGGCGACGCCGTCACTTGCGGCGTTGGAAGACACGCCGGAGTGCCTTGCGCCAGAAAAAGCGCTGCGATTTGTTCTTGGTGTGTGTCTGCGGCTCCTCTATTTGAGCAAGCGCCACATCAAAGTCCTCAACCAAGTGCAAGTCCTTTTCGGGAGCAATGCGATGACGTGTAGGTGTGGCTGGCGCTGTGCGGGCCGTGCTCGTCGAATTGGATGCGTGGGGCTGAGGAGTGGGTGGTGCTGAGGATGTGGTTACAAAGGGTGCAACCAAATAAGGACGGGCTTTCAGTGCCGCCATTGCTGCCGCCGATGTGGAAGCTATTGATGAGATGGAAGCCAAAGTAGCCACCGACGCCGAAGATTCTATATAGCCCCTGCCAACTTCTCCATCTGCTGTTACTGCTGGTGATCCACCTTTTAGTGCTGTTGCTCTTGCTCTTGTTTCTTTTCCTGCTGCGGTTCCTGCTCCTGCTCCTGCTCCCCCTCCATCTGCTATTGCTGGCTGGGTGGCACGCAGCCAACAACCAGGTTGCATCGTATCTTATCTAAGCCAAGGGTGCTGCAGACACTCCGCGGCGGTGGCTCGCTTCTTCGGATCGAACTCGAGCATGGGCTTAAGGAACGAAGCGAATGACGCCGCCTCACTTTGCGACCACTCGTACTTCTCCAGAAGAACGTCCATTAGGTCCCAGGGCTTGAGGCCCGAGATATTTCGTAGATCGCCTCCACGGGTAAACGACTTCGGCGCATAAGTGCCGCTGAACACAATCTGGCGCGGTATGGGACCCAGCAGCTCGATGATGTGGGCCAGATGGTCCTCGTCGCGGGAGTAAGTTTCGCCGGAGTGTGGCTCGAACAGATAGTCACCGGTGGCCAGTTCGAACACCATGCATGCAGTGCTCCAGATATCCGCCGAGGTGCCGTAGCCCGCACCGAGAATCACTTCTAGTGACCGATATTGGCGCGTTTGAATGTCTTCGGTGAAGTGGCGATCCACCCAACAAGCGTTGCCCAGATCGGCGATCTTTACGGAGACACTGCACTCCTCCAACGCCGGGTCCCGTTTAGCCTTGTGCTTTGCTTGCGGTGGCGGAGGAGGTGTTGGCAGCGTGGGCTTCGAGTACGGTCCATTCGTAGCCGAGGATGAGTTATCCACGGAGCCGCTTGAGACTTTCGAATCGCTGTTCGAGTTAGGCTTAGAGTTAGAGTTGTTGTTGTTTAGCTGCTGATTTGTTGACTGCTGCTGCTTTTCCAACTGTTTCTCCTGCTTGGGTCGCAATGGCATTTTTTTGCCGTTTGATTGTCCTTTCAAAGTGCCGCTTGAATTGGTGAGGGAGTTACTGTTGGTAACGTTACTACTGCCATTTGTCTGGTGACTCTTAAGGGCACTGCTGCTCTCGCCACTGCTCGTAGAGTTTTCCAGTTGTGGCGGCTGTTGCGCTTGTGATTGGTTAGATTTGTCTAACAAAGAAATGTTTTAATTTGCATTATGAAAGTCATATAAGCAATCTTTTAGAGAGGAAACGGACAAATTATAGAAAAAGTGCAGCAAGAACTAAACATATCAATTAATAAATATAGGCAATACTTTCACCTTAAAAAATTTGTCGATTGGACCAGTCTCGTTTAGTCTTTACTTACTTTTGTTCTTCCTTTTCTTCTTCTTTTTGGCTTTATCAGCGCCCTCAGTCAGCGGTGTCTGCTCCTGTGGCTTTTCACTTTGCTCCAGAGGCGCCTTACGCTCCTCCCTCTGCTTACGTGGTGGCTGCCCAGCGGCCATGTGCACGTTGTCCTCCGTAGAGTTCGCATCGAAGTACTCATCAACATCGGAGATTGCAAAGTCGCCGTTTTGCACCTCTTTAGGATTGATGGTCCCTTGACTACCAGCCTGCTCCAAGTAGTCTCTCTGCTTTTTGAATAGCTCCATGCGTTTCTTGGCCTTCTTCTTAAGCTTCTTCTTTCGGTTCTTGCTCATTTTGCCAGTGATAGGTGGCTCGCGATACTCCTTGGGCGCCTGGCTCACCAATGATGGATACATATTTGAGTTCATGCAATACAACTGGGTGGCTTCAGTAGCCAGTGAGCGCACATGAGGCTCGTCCACGCACAGGAGGACATTCTCGGGCTTAATGTCCGTGTGGATGATCTGGCAGCACGTGTGAAGATAGTCAAGACCCTCCAGCACCTGGCGGGTAATCGTTTTGACGTTGGCCAGTGGGATTCCGCGGTAGTTGGACTTGCGGATGAGTTTTAGTAGATTGTCACCGAGCACCTCGAACACCATGCAAATATGGGTGCCATTAACGCCGCTGATCTTAAAGTCGTCCAGCATCTGGACGGTCTTGTGTCGGCGTGGATTCGACGGATCGGTCTCGCGCACCGTCCTGAGTATCTGTATCTCGTCCTTTGCCGTTTCTGCAAAGTGCGGTGCCGACTTGACAATTTTAATTGCCACATAGCTCTTTTCCTGCAGATCCCAGCACAGCCAAACAGTAGAGAAGTGTCCCCAGCCCAATTTTCGGATGACGTGGTAGCGAGCTGCAGAACAAAAATTGCATTAATCTGGTGCTCTTCTCGACAAGGGACAAAGTTCAACGGTTTGGGGAGAGCGACACAGAACCACTTAGGAAAATGAAATCACAAATGTTCGCTTCGGATGGCAATAAATCCATTTTAATCGCATCACTGTCACATCACGACTGACCCAGCAACTAGCCGAACGCGAGAGCTGCTCTCCGCCGCTTAAATTCAATTAAAATCCGGCAGCGAATGCAGTTGAGTGCGTTTTCGCGAGGTTACTTCAATATTACAGCCAAAAGGCCTGAAAGGGATGGAATGACGGATCTAGTGCTAGAGTTCTTATGCTACTCGGCCAAGTATCCGTAGCTGACTTACATACTTGTGCTTCCTAAGAGTTCGTTGAAGGGAAGCGATTATATATTATGTTTCATCTTAGGAAGCTCAAAATGTATACTAATCAATACTAAGTCATATTTTGGTTACAAAATATTATATATATGAACCCTAATTATATTTTGTTAGCTCTAGCAGCTCCTATCAAATATACTCTTTACTTCCTTGCAAATTTATAAGCCTAGTAAGAATATGTTAATAATCTTCTTTGTTATAAATCCGCAATCCAATTGCAAAGATGACAGATGTCATAGCACAATCTGCTAACTTAGAAGAGCCTGGTTGGCCGTTATCAGGTCCTCATTCTCTTATCGCTGCGAAGCGATTGCTCAGATTTCTTTCGCCAAAAGCTGCAGAGCCTGCGAATGGATTGGGGAAGTGGCAATCTGACAGCTGGCGTTGTAAAATGGGTGGAGACGACATGCATGCAGGGGGTAGAGTTACGGGCTTATGTTGGCGACAACGTTAGGAGGAGACAGCCGCCCCCAAACGGGTTACTGTTGCTATTGTTGTCGTCGCCACAACACGAGGTGCCCCCTTTCTCGCCGAAAAAACAACCCTTGCCCAAACAAGGATAGAGGTCTGAAAAACCACCCGCTGTGCGTTCGATTTATCTGTGCTGTGCTTGCCTTTGGCAACCTGTTGTTGTTGCTGCTTCTGCGGAGGGTCTGGTGGTTTTTTGGGTCGGAAAATGCCAATATATGGGGGTGCTAACAGGTGCCTTACCCTGAAACAGGTCACCGATGTTCACGGGGTGATAGCCACCCTTGCAGTAGTCCTCCTTAAGCTCCTGGTCATCGTTATCGCTGTACACCTCGGATTCATAGGACTCATTGGAGCTGCTCCGCGGCGGCTGCTGCTCCTTCTTGGTGTCGGACTTCGACTTGGCCTGCGTTTTGGATGGATGATATTGATCGGGAGTGCTTGCTGATCCTCCGCTGGATGTGGAGGCCGTAGCAGTTGCAGTAACCTTGCTAAATGCGGCCGAAACGGGCGCATTCAAATGGCTATTATTAGCATTATCCGGTGCTTGCAAGTTAGCGCTGCTCCGATTCGGTTCCGGATTGGAACTTGGGTTGGGATTCTGGTTCTGGCTGGAATTCGACTGCTCCTGTGGGTTAGTGCCGTTCTGCTTGCCCCGCTTCCTGTTCTTATGGCGCTTCTTCTTCGCCTGAATTGCCAAAACGCGACGGTTGACGTCAGCCTTGTTCATTTCGGTGCTGCTGGTCGCTTCTATTTTACTATGTTACCCTTTATTTCCGCCAGGTGTAACAGCTGTTGTATGTGGCGAATCGGAAGAGAAGAGAAGAGGAGAGAAGACGAGTGGTTAGGGAAGGGTTGATAAAAAACGAAGTAACGCGGCGGAGAAGTAGAGAACTGACAACGTGCACAAATCTCAATAAGGCAATGTTCGAGGTTCGGTTCACGCTTCTCTCGCTGTTTTTCTTGCTTTTGTTGTCTTCTCTGCCCTGTTTTTTGATGTTCACTTTTCTGGTCTGTTATTAGCACTGTTGTAGTGCTACTGAGCGGCTGAAACATCTACAAACATCAGGTAATCAGGTCCACTTGCCTGGGGCTCCCACTTGTTCCCAATTATAACGGCTACTGTGTCGATTTCTGCACAAAATTAGCACAAAAAATCTTCGCCAAACGCCAAATCCGAAAAACTCGATTTCAGTGGGACCGCAGCGCTAACGTCACAAAATACCATCGAGCTCTGGAAAAGACTTCGCGGAAAGATGAAATTAGTGATTGCAATATCATGTTAATATCAATAAATTATTTAAGCCACAGATGGGAATATAATAACACCAGGTGTATAACACGTTTATTTAAGCTCGCCTATTTGTACTTGCCTATCTTAATGTGGTTTGTAGAGAACAGCCTACCTTAATGAGGTAAGGCTGTACAGATACAGATATTCTTCCAAAAAAAATTGTAATTTATTTTTAAATGAAATATAAACAAAACATCAACACATACTATCAGAAAACATTACAAGTTTTTTAGTCACTTCAACTTTTATTAGAAGCTACAAATAGCTGAAAAGTAGCCAAAAGCAGCAGCACTTGCGATAGCATGGACTCAAACCGTCCAGAGCACCAACAACTGCTTAACGTAAAACGCACCACTTTAGGTTTCCCTATCTCCCTCGCACGCTCTTCCCCTAGTGCGGCCTCACTTGCACCCACTAGTACTCGACCCGCTTGGACATTTTGCTCAGCGTTTGCTTTGCCAAAGGCTCCCGAAAATGCAGACACCACTGACTTACCTGGCTTCGCAAGTGAGCGCGGACTAGGCCAATATCATCTCGATTCGCTGGCGTTGCGCAGCAGCCGCAAATGCAGCTGAAACGAGCAAAAAACACGCGCACAACGGAAAATCCGCAAGTGGAAAAAACTGCTACGGAAAAATCAACTCTGCCATCAAATAGTGTTGCAAATCGTCGGTGTTGAACAGCTGAGCGCTTAGTGTTGACAGACAATCAAATACGGTAACTTGCAACACTATAGGCGTTTTGGCGCAATTTTAGGTTTTGGAGGGAAACTGCATCTAGAGAAAAATCGTGGCCAGTTGTAATTCGAGCAGTGCGCTGGCACGACGTGGTGGTAAAAAAGAAAAACTAAGAGA